AATAACGCTCAATTCTTCAATTTGAAATATTAAATTATTATTTCTTGCTATTATTTCCCTCCTAACTGTTTTGCCGTCGATTTTCTTTTGCTTTCACTGACACTTCCATTGTACTGCTATAGTCCAACTTTCCAAATCGACCAACGTACTTAGGACATTTGATTTCCTCCACACCACTCTATTCATATGTCAATCGATGCAGTTAGTTACTAAAAGCATTTTCATTATCCCCTAACCCTCATCACTGTCTTCCTCCCTTCCTTCCTCTTACTCTTTCTGTACATTTTGGATAAAACATACCTTGAAGTATTTCAAATAAAGTACTTATTGGTGTTCGAAAGTGAGCTTATTTCTAAGGAGAATTCAGCATATGTAAGACGTAATAGAGGAGGAAAAAATTGGAGAATGTGATAAAATGTTGGCTGATTCACTTTTATGGGGAGGTCATGGCAGCACTGTTGTCAGATTTGATTTTGGAATGTGAGATAACACAGGGGGTTTCTGTTAAAAGCCAAATCTTGGCCCATTAAGTGCCACATCGAGACAAAGAGAATTTGACCTTAGAAGTCTATAATTGTTGTTATGCACTTTTGAATCGTTCAGTGAACACAATACTAAGGGGTAAGGGCGGACGAATTAATGTATGTTAGTATTGGAAGTGTGATTTTGGTGTCAGATGAAATTTCTTTAACAGGATTATGGAGGGTAATCAGCCTCCATGTGAATGAGGCCATATTGTTGATGAGTTGACAGAACAGTATTAACTTCATGGCCCTGAATTATAATAACGTTAAGCTTAAGAGAGATACCACAGAGAAAGTCAGAGGACAAATGAAGTGAGGCGAAGTAAAAATCATGTAAGAGTAAATATGATTCTCCCCTATTCCACATTGTCCCTAATATCATAATCTTCATATTCCCATACTGAATTTCAGATCGCCTCTCTCGCCTTCTCACTGTCTTACACTTTCTCTCTCCCTAACTCTCTCAAGTTGGAAATGGGTAACCTTGGAAATTAATTAAGCTTTTTTTCAAGTTGACACTTTTAAAGCTCCTAATTCCTCACTAAGTAGATCATCATTATTTTAATTGTCATGGTATTAAGTATATCTTCTAGTACTATTGAACCATATTTGTCCACCAATAGCGGTCATAAGCGACCCCAAGTCATAAGTTATGATCAAGTCAGTATGTGATCTCCCTGTTGTCTATTGGCTTATGTTGCGCGCATAGTGATATGCCCTCGTTTCCTTAGACTCCTTTCTGATCTGATGCAGGAGGCAGTAACATAATGGAGGTGGTAAAATATGCCAACTGTAATTTACCACAAATGCATATTATTCAGAGTTCTCACTAAAGCTCATTCATTTTTTCACAAATTATGGCCTTATAATTTCCGCCATTCCAACTTACTGGAATTAGTGATACAGGCTAAAATAATTGTGTAAGTGTCTAAATAAAAAATATTGAGACTTTATTTATGTTTGATTTGGTATACCAAATTGTACTTCGATTTTTAATGCAAGATAATTTTGTCAACTTTGAATGTTAACATTCCGATGACCACTGATGTTACATTTAGAAATGAAAAGGCTCTTCCCGACTCTTTTATTTGATATCAAACAGTCCAAATTCAGACATTCAAAGCTGAAACACCACCCTACCACTTCCTACAATCACTGGTGCAACTAAGCTCTTGCAAGTGGAGATTTCTCTTCATATAGAGTCGCATTCGTGACCGCACATTGGAACAGCGCCGTTTCAAGTGTTCATTTAGAAGTTTTCCAATGCCACAAACAAGAAGATAAATCATTACGGGGTTCGCATCTTCGTAAGGGACAATAATATCCGCACGAGACTTTGTGGGAGCGATAAAGTTGTCGTAATCTGGTTTGACGAACGAGAAATACTGACGAATGATGTCGTTGACTTAACGACCACGCTCACGAATGTCTCGAAGAAGACGTCTTGAGACACGCACTTCGGCATCGGTTTCAACGAAAATCTTCACATTCATAAGCTTAAATAACATTACAAAATGTTAGGAATATTTCCATTCTTGTGGGTATATTTGAAAATATATTTCTTCCAAGAATGAATTACCTCCAATATCTCCTGATAGTAATAGGTCACGATGCTTTAAGGGACTTACCGGTACGAGAATGTTTCACGAAGTCATGTTATAGCGGATTGATAGTTTATTAAAGCCTTGACTTGAGTCTCAGAAACCTCGGTGGTAGATTATCCTAATTACCGAGACTTCAGAAGAAAGAGATGTATCAATGAAACATTTATTCACTAGATAATGATAGCGAATCGTGCTCAAAAAGGAACAGCTAATCATGCAAAATGTCGAACTAAAAAACAAACGCAGATTTTCTATTGGTCATTGGCTGTGCGTCTCCGCAACCAATCCCTGTGTGATGCTGCATGGCGCACCTTAAGCCTAGTGTGCGCGCCTGCGACGAAGTGTGCCACAATACTCCCCCTCTAGAGCGTTTGTAGGAACCTAAAAGGTGAATGGAAATGCTCGACGTACTAAGTGTACATAGTTAACCAGCCGGGAAGGGAAGGTAACTTATCGGTAGTAGCGAGTGTATTAGGCCTTACAATTTCCTGCTCGTTATTACTAGTGGATCAATTTATGTTACCACAAACTGTTTCTGTTCATAATAAAAAGCGGTTATTCATACGGGACAATTCAACTTTAAGTTTATTACTGGTACGAGAATGTGTCACGAATTCAATTGTTTTGCCTACTTTGAGCATAGAAAAATGCTTGAATTGCAGCTGGGAATCAGTTGCGGAGGGATGATCAAAGTTGAAACGACCCTCGTGTGCAAGAGCTTTCTCCTTGTCTAAAGGCTCCAAACAACGATTTGAAATCGTTTAGCCTAATTTAATTTGATATTAATTTTATATTACTCAGGTTACACCCTGTACAATCTACCTAAATACCGGCAAGTTGCAAGTGGAATTCTAACTGGAGTAAAAGAAGGCCTCACCTCACACTACGATCTAATCAAGAGTATGGGCTCGACACAAGACAAATGTGAAATAATCAGATTAAATGTTTGGAAATGTCAAAACCAATTCAAGATATATGCAGTCTATAATCCTCCTCAGAATTGTCCAAACTTTGACTTTCTGAACATCTCACACAAAACCATAGTACTAGGAGACTTCAACGGCCACTCCACAAGATGGGGCTACAAGGATACAAACATAGCTGGAAAGGAAATTTAAGACATGCTAAACAGCAACATTCTGGAACTTATTTATAGCAATGAGGATCCGGCTAAGAGTCATTGCTAGTATTACCATCGGCAGCAAAAGCATGTCAAGGAAAGTGCCAACGAAGCTATCATGCAACTTCAAGAAGGCTGACTGACCTTGATTCACAAACCTTTTAGAGGATGAACTTCACACAAGTCCTACTTTTAGAGAATGAACTTCACACAAGTCCCCTCAACTTCCTGGCATGGAACTTCATGAAGGCTGACTGGCCTAGATTCACAAACCTTTTGTCAAGAAGGCTGACTGGTCTAGATTCACTAATCTTTTAGACTCAAGAAGGCTGACTGGCCTAGATTCACAAACCTTCTAGACCAAAGAAGGCTGACTGGCCTAGATTCACAAACCTTTTAGAGATTGAACTTCACACAAGTCCCTTCAACTTCAACCAACATCCTCGAAGCCTGACTGGTCTAGATTCACTAACCTTTTAGACAATGGCACAAGTCCCCTCAACTTCAACCAACATCCTGACAAACTTCGCACTGCTATCACCAATATTATGATCAGATATCCAAAGAAAACTATTCCTCGAGGCAAAACTAAACACTATCGAGTGTATTGGTCTAAACATCTTGAGGAACTGAAAAGAAAGAGAGACGTCCTTCGCAACACTGCTGATCTGACTGGAAGAACGGAAGACGTAAAAGCCTGGAGACNAGATCCGCTTTTGAAGGGGAAATAGAGGCTATTAGGATAGCACTATGCCAATTATGTTGCCTTGATACAAAATTCACCAAAGCGGTGATACTTTCGGACTCACAGTCAGCAATAGACTCTATTGGAAACAGAGAGACACCCAAAACAGCTGAGATAAAGGAATGTAGAAAACTCTATGAGCTGCTGAGAGAGAAAAACAAAACAGTGGTCCTACAATGGATTCCTGGTCACTGTGGCATTAAATGCAATGAGATTGCTGGCACACTTGCTAAGAAGGGGACAACGATTTTGCAATGCATGGACCGGCCGATGTCTTTCCACACAATGAAGGCCTTAATCAGGAGAGAATTCCTGGCCTCAAGGTTCAACGAAATTAAAGCTCGAACAAAGGAGAAACAGTGGACAGTGGCACTCTCCGACATACCCGACTGGCCAAGAATCGAAGCCGTTGCTGAGTTCAGACTACGTACCGGACATGATTGCTTGGCGAAACACCTTCACAGATTGAGAGTATACACTCAACCCACATGCCCTCTATGTAACCTACATGAGGAAATGGATAAGACCCACCTGATTCGGTGTCCAGCCCTAAAGACAACGACGGAAAGCCAAAAATACTGGGAAGCAAGAAGACTGCTTATGAATTGCTATTAAATAAATGCTATAAATGTACCCCCCCCCCTTGGGGGAAGCTGAAGTCAAAGATTAAGGGCTAATGATAGAATGAACTGCTATTAATTAACTGCTATATATGCACCCCCCACCCCTGGGTGTAATGAACTGCTATTAAATAAATGCTATAAATGTACCCCCCCCCCTTGGGGGAAGCTGAAGTCAAAGATTAAGGGCTAATGATAAATATCATAAAGCCTGCCATTTTAAATAAATTAATAAATTTTATATTAATTCCAAAACCCTAGAAAACCTTTGCCATTAAAGCATGAAATACTGTTTTGAGCATTTACGGATCTCACAGTCTATTACCACAGCTATTCAAATTTAATAGAAGATGGACAAAGGCGTTAATTGAATTTATTGTTGTATTTGAACAAATGGCACTGATACCAGCTGCTTCCAACTTGACACAAATCCTCGTTAGCAAATTTGAGGGACGTGACGTTAAGTTAGAAATGTGCATCAGTCGTTTGTGAAATTTACATTAATTCTGATTCCAGTAATTAAATAAACTCTAATAGATTTTATGACAACTCATTTGAATTCATTCTAAATAATAATGTCTGAGATTAAAAAAAAGAGTATCATTTTCACTGGACTTGGATACCAAGCAAAATTAAAATCCTATTTTACTACAATTTCTGTGGATTTATCAGGGCATAACTTATTCTCATCGTGGTACTAAGTACGTTTAAGTACGAGATAAATTTCAATTTCTGCAAATACTTCCTTAACTCTACTGCTTTAAATTTTTGCTCTAAATATCATGAAACCTGGAAGAAAACAGCTTGCAAGTAAAAACCTCACATAATCATAGATTCTTTGTGTAATTTCTATTTGTTCCTATCTCAGTAACTCCGATTCAAAGTTTAAGAGGAGCAATGTGTGCTGTCGTGGGTATCTTGGAAACACCTTTTCCCTTCAATGTGTAATTGCCAAGTTCTGGCGTTATGTGTGACTCAGAGGCAACTTCCCTGGAAATACTATGCTATTTCGCTTAATTCGGAACAAGGTCAGGTGAGAGTGTGTCAATTAATGCTTACAGAAGCTGGATCGAAGTCACATGGAGGAAGCGAAGTGTTGACGCCTAAATAACAAGTAAATAGGCTGATATAAGTCGTTGGTGTTTGGACGAAAATGCGATAGGCATTTTAGAACTAGATAGAAGAATCATTTTAACTATTAATGCACTTTAAATTACATTGATATTGAAACATGCACACTACAGTGGTGATGGTGACGGTGGTGCTGTTAGCCTTCAATACCACCGAGATCACAAAAATTGATTGAATACAGACGATTGACCGAATCAGACAGAGATATTTCAACCGAGCGACGCGTTGAAAAGTCTGGTCAAGTAATTCATAGTATTGTCCATTTTCATACTGTCGCTTTCTATCGAGCTGTTTAGACGTACCTTCCAATTGTTCCAATTGCGAATTTTCACATTTTTTCTGCAATTCAGCTCAATTTGTTTTCCCTTGATTGACTTGAAACCTTTGCGTTGTACCAATTTCTAGGCTGCCAGTCGATTTGTATGTAGGCACTTTGCACGCGAATTAAAATATAGGAAATTTCACTTGAACCAGATTTTATTAATGATGTTTAACATTCCTCAATTTAGATCGAATTTGAATTTTAAAAGTGCTTTTAGAAATCGCATTGACAACGAAACAGGAATAAATTTAAGTGCTCGCTCCTCTTCGCCTCTTGAAGTCTTTCAACAATGTTAATGATGGCTTAGTGGATGAAATTGTTCAAAACCAACCAAAAAGAGGAGATTGCGGAACGATCAGAATAAGTGCAAGCTAGTGGGGAAAGAAAGACTCATCTAACACTCAACCGCATAGATGAAATGCCTCGTCGTGAAATCATCAAATATCTCGAACTACCCGGTCTAGTGGCAGGCATTTTGATAGTCATCATTAACCCTTAGCTGACTTCGAACTTCACAGAGTCGAGAAACATCAAAGTTAGAAAAATTCAAGAGGGAGGACCGAAGAGTGATTTGCAGATGTAAAAGAAGCAGACACACTGGTAGGGAGTAGGGTTAGGTGAGTACTGTAGAAGTGGTCGACTACGACATACAGTGAGGTCATGGTAGTTGTAAGTCAGAAGTCAACTGCCGATTAAGACTTTTTTGCCGTATGAGTGCACCACGTGGGGGTAAATCTATCGTACTCCCCTCATTGAAATATGCACACTGCAGTAGTGATAGTGGTGGTTAAGTTGTCGGCCTTAAAGGTCAGCCGAGGTCACGAAACTCGATTGAATGCACCCGATTGCACAGATCAATAGGAGATATTTGGAAGCAATGAGTCAATTAACTCGCAATATTATTCTCGCACATAATTTCGCTTTCTAGCCACACAACAACTTTCTACTTCA